ACCATGGTTTGCAAGTGGTGCGAAGTGGATTTCGCAACCATCCACAGTACACAATGGCACCCTCTAAGTTTAAGTCCAGCGATCACCAAGCAATTCGGAGCCTGTGAAAGCCTTGGAAAAAAGACGGAGCTGGTCCGCTGGTACTGAAACCCAACCCCTTCCCCGGGTCCGCCCGCTCTGCGTCCAGCCGCCTGACCCAAGCTTTGGACACGTGATGCCGTGCTCAACTTGTTCCATGCGCGTGCTATTTGATGTGCGTTTGGAGTTTGGAATGCGATTTCACCGTCTGTACAAAACAGAAGCAGAAGGCAAATTCCGAGCCTGCCACATACCCGTTGAGTGAAACACCCTTCAATGTAGGTGTCTTTTGGTGGGTGTTCTTGGGGCAGGCTCCGTCAGGAAAGCGTTCCCAGCCTAGCGAGCCAATGGTGGGGCCCCCAAAAAGTTGAACGCTGGCCTCGTGCTTGGTTTCCCCTTCTCACCTAGTCCAAAGCAGGGTCCCTTTAGCCACTTGGACATGTTGCAAACTGATTCTCGCAAACTGGAGGGACTGGCAATGCAAGTCGGACCATTACAATATACATTTTGCTGGGGTGCTTTGCGGGCTGTTCCCGAAAGGGTTGGCATGAACCAAAATTGAGGTTAAAACGAGGTAACCTGGTTCAAGATCGGCTTTCAGATTAATCATTCAGCTTCTCAACAACCCTGATGTGACCGGGACTACTGCCCACTTGCACTGTTGGAAATAGGGTGCCCAAGAAGCAACAATGGTCAAGCATCAGCAACACAAGCTCAGAGCAGAAGATGTCTGTATTCATGCGTGGTTCCCAAAATTCCTGATTTTCTGGCTTTGGGCGGAAATAGTGACTCGAAGAAAGACCCGGGTACCGTTTCTGAGATTGTCGGGACCAACATCCTTTGAGGGAGACACCTTCCTCTGTTATGACACCCCCGGATTGTTTTCAGACCACTTTTGGGGTCTTATCCCTCCCCCCACCCCCCTTATATATTCATAGGACGGGTTCTACTTAGATCCACGGTCAACATCAAAACAAAACCTCGGCCATTGGTCCCACGGCCTAGCGAGCCCCGAGCCGCCCCGTTGAGCTTGGCACCGCTCGAAAAGCGCGGCAAAGGCGATGTGACGGACAAGTCACGTGTTGTTGATAAAAGTAAAAATAATAATAATAATAATAATAATAATAATAATAATAATAATAATGATAATAATAATAAAAAAGTCAGTAACAGGGTGATTCGCAAAGTTCAGAAACTATGAACATGATGTCAAACAGGTTGTTTTACGAACAACAAACAACGATGAAACAGTTGCTTAAAGGGCATTGAAAAAGGGGCCATCAGCCGGAAAGTGATGTCGGTTCGAGAGTTCTGGAGACCCAAGAAGTTCAAAAGGCGAACCCGACCCGCAAAAGTTTGGTACCCTTTAAAGGGGTGGGCTTTTTAAAGGGGAACAAAAGGAAAACCAGCCGTTTTGAAATCAAATGCCATGATTGGAGACTACAAACGGCCCCGTTTCTGCGCTTGCTCATATATGTGGATCAGCCACCAACCTGAGATAAAGGCTTTCCGGATGAATCGACCACATGATTCGTGTGTCCCCTCAATGCTAGGGGTCTTCACTGCTGGCCCCATCCGCGAGGTTTATTCACCGGCGGTGACAGTTGCGATACACAGTAGTTTAACAACATGTTGAGAGCAATCTCCTTTTTGCTTCCTGTGGGTATGCTTTAAGGGACTTTTTTGGGCCCCAAACGTGTTACGCCTTGAAGCAGAACCCCTTCATGTGTGGTGTCCAAGTCCATTTAGTGGTGTTTCAGACCACTTTCGGAGAAGAAGAAACCAAAACCCCCAACTGGCACGGGTGAGTTCGTTCATCCGCCCTGTGAAACGAAACCCTGGGGTTCTGCGGGGGGGGGGCCCTTTTGAGACCAAAAGGAAGGGAGCCAGGCCTGGAGACCCTCGCCAAGACTGTGCGGGAGAGCGCCATGCCATGGCATGCGAGAGGGAGCGGGGGCGGGGGGGGGGGGGGTTGGGTGGTCTGCTGGGAGTGGTTGGAGTGGTTGGAGAGTGGGTTGAGTGGTTTCAGTGGTTTCAGTGGCTTCAGTGGTTTGAGTGGTTGGTTTGGAAGGTTTGGATGGTTGGTGGGGGGGGGTGAAGAAGTAGTTGTTAGCTAACACCAATATGATTGTTACAATGTGATAGATACACATGTTATATAACTCAACTCTATCATAACGCCCGATTCACAATATGGAGCATGCTTTCCCCGAATTGCAGTTGTGCCATGGCCTCGAGAGACTCTAGAGCATCAGGTGCACTTGCCAGGGCTTGCTTGGCTGACTGGGTGGCTGGGTGGCTGGGTGGCTGGGTGGCTGGGTGGCTGGGTGGCTGGGTGGCTGGGTGGCTGGGTGGCTGGGTGGCTGGGTGGCTGGGTGGCTGGGTGGCTGGGTGGCTGGGTGGCTGGGTGGCTGGGTGGCTGGGTGGCTGGGTGGCTGGGTGGCAGCGTGGCTGGGTGGCTGGGTGGCTGACTGCTTCAGACATTTCCCTGCACGCAAACAGCACAGGAAGCTGTTCGGCACACCAATCACAGTGGGGATTTGGGGTTAGGGAACCCCACATGACTTCTGCAACTGTTATAAGGCCTCAAGCAAACAAGAAAACATGCATGAACGATTCATCTTCCCACCATGGCAGAGTTTCAGGCAGAGCGGAACAAACCAGCACGCAAGCTGCTACTACTAAACAATGTCAACCCATCCCCACTCTAGTGGTTGCCGCTTTTTGACATCTTCAACAGCAGCTCTCACCGTGATGTGGAAAGAGTGAAATTCCTTCAAGCCGCAAATAGCAAGTCTGCTCGCCTCGGCATAGTCAGCTCCATTTTTAGAGGTCGCCTTGGGCAACATCTCTAAGTATGTGCACCACTTCACGTCCAACCGGTATGGTTTTTGTTTTGCCAACTGACTTTCTTGTATGCTGTTGTTTGCACCAACTTTCGACCACTCAGCAGTGGTTGAACATATGGATGGCCTTCCGCTGCACGCCAGCCATATTGCCTCCTATGCCTAATGCTCTCTACACGCCTCGCCTCTCAGTTGGCGTTGGCAAGTTCCATTTTAATGCAAAGGGAGCCCGTGTCGCAGGGCGCCCCTCACTCACACAAGTTGTTGCAGCTGATTCTGGAACAATTGCCGCAACGGAAAATTGGATTGCTTCACAGTGTTCAGTTCGCATCTACACGTTGCGCCAGGCAAACAGTCCGTGGGTTGTGTGCAAACGAAAGCTTGCAGTCTGACTGCTGAATGTATGCCTTAAAAACCCAGTCGCATACAGCCTCAGAACAAAAACGCTTGGCCAGAAGTCGTTTCACCGATCGCCAAGTCTCGGATGTACTTGAAGCATTGTGGATTGGACAATCAAGACGGTAGACTTTCCAGTCTTTACCATTGATGGGACATATGTTCTCAAGAGACACAGTCTCTAGCTGCAGTTCGCTGGACACAACGGCAAACTTCAAAGTCGGTCGATTTGCTTTTCTCTCACGTCGTACTTGGGGAGCGCGGTATCGCGGCAAGCGACATGCACAACTGGAAGAGGCGCTGGCTCAAATATTGCGAGGTTCGCAACCTCCCAGCTGTTTGCTGGTTCTGCGCAACACTAACCACTCACAACAAATTTGAAGAGAAAGTTGGGCACTAGAAGGGTAAGGACAGGACAGGGAAAACAAACCAAACCATCCAAAGCTGGGAATGCACGGAAACACTATGTAGAATGCACTTGCCCCTGCAACAGCGGCCCTGAGCATCATCAGAGTTTGCCTTCCCTCTCCCCAATGGTGGCAGAAGAGCGGGTCCTGCTCCTAAAAAATCAAAACCACTCACAACAACCAACGGCACGTCTCAAAAGAATGTCGAAGAACCTACCGATCTCCCCGAATGGCAAGGAATGGCAACCATCCATTCATGAGGTTCCACACTGAGTCGAATCACGTCTGTCAAACATGCAGCCGCTGAAGTCCAAGAAAAAAGGCAGGACTGTGCTCTGCACAAACGCAATCTTCGGATGTCCTGGTTCCGTGGACGTGATGAGGGCCGCCCGCCACTGAAAGCATCTCCGGGCTGGGTAAGGAGATCAAAACTGCACACAGCAACCACGCACGTCTCAAAAGAAAGCTGGCCAACGGGAAGGGGCGCGCTTCCCAATGGCTTCAGCCACTGGATCGTTTCAGCCAATAGCTCTCGAGCTTCTGCCGGTGGCGACTTGCCCGTTACTCCTTGCTGCAGCATCGTCCCCATCCGCTGGATCAGTTCATAGCCGTTGTTCAAGTCGACCAAAGCCTTTCTTCGCCAAAGTCCTCCACCTCCTTGCGGCCCTTGGCGAGCCGTCCCAGCAGCCCCGGCCTCCGAGCCGCTGTCCTGGCAACGAACTGCTGACTGGAGTCCCCGTCTGGGCCGGGGCGCAAAGCAACCAGCGCTGGCTTGACACCTCGACGAGCTGGCAGGATGCGAAAGAGAGACAATCTATTTGCGACTGGGCCAGTGCGCCCTTGCGGCTCTGGCATGGCAACCCTATCAAGAACATCACCAGGGACCAAAACGGCCCTCAGTCCAGGCAATGCTCAGCCACTGTGCCAAGGCCCGGTCTCTCCAACTCGTGGCCATGGCGTTGCCAGATTCCGCGGCGGATTCGTCTGGCATCCGTGATGACCTCTGGCTCTTCTCTGAGGCCAGCGAGTCCTTCAGCCTCTTAGGCCTCCGCTTCGTGGGCGTTACCTGTTGTTATTCGAGTGATATCTGTCAGGGCAGTGTCCTAGACACCGCTTTATCATAGGGAGCATAAAGCGCTGCCAATTCTCGCCTGCTCACACGGCACCGGGTCCCACCTCGCGGGGTGTTGGTTTAGGATCTGGCGTTGGGGTTAGTTTGGGCGTTTCGGGAGCATATGCCCGGTTCGGGATCCAGACTTGGCATAAAATTAGGGTTGGCGTCGGAATTGTTGGGTTGGTCCGGAGAGGGGGTGGCTTTGTCATAAGGTGGCTTCATAGCAAGCCCGTGCCAGGTACTGGGCGTTGGAGCCAAAGGGCTGGAAGCTGCTGTAGAAGCGAGCTCCCCGATAGCAAGCGTAAAGACTGGAAGATTGTCTCAGCACCGTGCAGAGAATTTCAACTAACTCCAGATTGCAACATTTGGACTAGTAAGGTAGCACTTGCATGCTCCTCCTTCAGAGAATTTGACTTGAGTGGCCACTGCCGTGCGTGCATCCAATCCAAAGAACAAATTCCCTTTACGGCTATCTAGTCATCTGCAGCAAACTCTCTCTTCAGCGTGCACTTGGCAGCGTAATCAACAAATTGGCTCGACGCCGCCCCTTTTGTCCCAAACGCACAAGGCAGCAGCCGCCTTGGGCCTCCTTACAACGTCCACCATGAAATCAGCGTGGATAGTCCACAATGGCACCTTCAACTTGTTTGGTCGGCATGAGTCGCGAATCATCCTTTGCTTCATAGCGCAGAGTCATCACATCGAGGATCTCGGCATTGAGGCGTACAAGTTCCGCAGGGCCGTCACAACAGAAATACATAGAACTTCGTCATCGCGTCCATCGTTGCATCATCTGCGAACAGAAGCCGTCTTTGCCCAGTCTGATCATCCCCCCGCCATCGGGGATACAAAAGCGAAGTCTCGCTTGTGTGCGCTCAATTGGCTCGTCTTGGGGATCTGGAATGGGGGAGGGGTGCGCGCATGCGCATCTGGATGGTCGAGTCCGGAGCGATGTCTTTGGGGTTGGTTTGTAGGAGCCTGCCTGGGTACAAGTGGTTTGCCAACATATCCAAATGAACAAGAACGAACCCAATCCGATTTGGACATGTCTGATCGATCCTGCCTGAGCAGGTCAGGTAAAACAGGGTGTCGCTCACTCCGGTCTTCTCCGAGACAACTCGGTTGATCTCAGAGACATCGCTGCATCGACTGATGCGGACCACCTGGGTCTTGCCCCGATGGTCTCGCAAGAAAACCTGCACCGTGCCCATAGAAGAGTTGCCGCCTGCAAGGACAAAGGCTGACCCGTTTCCCCCAGCTTGAACCTCAAGACATACCGCATTTTACGACAGCCTCGTGCTCACCCTGTTCGAAACAACTGAAATGACCTAGTTGCACACGCTCAAGTTTCGCCGCACCTGCAGTCCTCGCAGGCTGCGTCATCTGTTGCAGCAATCCCGCAATGTCTGCGATTTGCGCCCTAAACTCCTGAGCTTCGCCCTTCAACTTCCGGTTCTCTTGTGAAACTTGGTCCTTTTCCTCCTTCAGCCGGGGGAGCTCCGAAAGTTTCACCTTTGCCTTAGTCTGAGTTGGCAAGTTTGGAAGACTCAAAAGAAGGTTTAGGCCTCTCCGCTTCCTCCTACCCACCAAAGGGAACAACGTCTGGGCCAAGTTGCATCAAAAAGCTCTGCAGTTTTCCGCTGCAGCGAGCGCTCCAAAGATTGGTTCTCCAACTTAAGCTCGGCAATGAGGTCCTTTGCCACTTGCAGCTCCTGAATTTGGCTCTTGGCTCTCTGAAGTTCGGGCACCAGGCATGCAGTCTCATGTGCGCGGGAACCATCCAGTCGGCCCGACCAAAAGCAGCCCAACGTATGATGTGCACAGCGCACTGGGATCTCATCTAGCACTGACTGCATGGGCTGGCTGATTCTGAGTTTGTGGGGGTTCATCCTGGACCTGCACATTGGGCACTCCCTCTTCCTTGCAAGTGCCTCAGTGACGCATGGCCGGCAGAAAACATGCTGGCATTCGCCTGCACCGCAAACTGGGTCTGAGAAGACTTCCGTGCAAATGGCACAACGCAAAGCCTGCGGTACTGCGCCAGGACTTACGAGCCGCTCATCTGCAATGCCCATCTGCACAAAAGGTCGCTTGTCCACTGGTGCCTGCTGCTTCTGACAGCCAAGATATGGCACAACCAAACACATGCATTGGTCGCGTATCATGCTGCCATGAAATCCACATGATTATTCATTACGAGCGCCATTAACCAAGCTGCCTTTGGGAGGCTGTGTGTGTAATCAATGACGTCGTTTCCCCGGCAAAGCAAGCCTTCAAATGGTAACTTAAAGCTCACAATAAACGAGATCAAGGCCCGTCGCGTCGGAAATTGGGCGAGAAATCCGGAATCCCGAACCCCGACAAGTCCCAAATCAGGAATCCTGCGTCACGAACCCTTGATCCTAAATACCCGACTCCGAAACCTGAATCAGGATGACATTGGGGGTGACATTCGAGCACGAGTAATATGATTGAATGTATACGATTTTGACTCGCGCAAGCGATGTTGATCACTTCTGAGATTTATTGAAGCGAAAGCAACATTGGCACGTCTTGGCACATGGCTCAAGATTTGCTGGTTGCACTGATACTTTGCAAAAAGAAGAGACCAAGGATATGGCCCACCCTCTGCTACATGTGTGGAATACAAACAAGATAGAACCCACGAACCCGAAAGCACATCACTTTCTCACACGCTACAAAAACAAGTTGCCCGTTTCGCACTTGCATTGTCTCGGACGCAGGAGCTGCAGCGAAGACGCCTCTTTTCTCTTCGTCTTTTTTCTTCTCTCTCTTATTTCGTCTGTCTTCTTTTCTCTTCGTTTTCTTCTCTCGTCTCTTCTTTCTTCTCTTCTTTCTTCTCTTCTTTTCTTCTCTTCTTTTCTTCTCTTCTTGTTTTCTCTTCTTTCTTCTCTTCTTCCTTCATTATTCTCTCTCTTCTCTCTTCTCTCTTCTTCTCTTCTCTCTTCTCTCTTCTCTCTTCTCTCTTCTTACTTCTCTTCTTTTCTTCTCTTCTTGTTTTCTCTTCTTTCTTCTCTTCTTCCTTCCTTCTCTTCTCTCTTCTTTCTTCTCTCTTCTCTTCTCTCTTCTCTTCTCTCTTCTCTCTTCTTTATTCTCTTTTTCCTTCCTTCTCTTCTCTCTTCTCTCTTCTCTCTTCTCTCTTCTTTCTTCTCTTATTTTTTCTCTTCCTTCTTCTCTTCTCTTCTCTTTTCCATCTTCTCTTCTTTTCTCCCTCTCCTCTCCTCTCGTCTCTTCTCTTCTCTCTTCTCTTTTCTTCTCTTCTCTTTGCTTTCTTTTCGTACTTTGGTACTTAGAAATATAATTTTCGAGCTGCAGCTCTTGGAATAGATCGATTTTCGAGCTGCAGCTCCCGGAGCGACATTTGCGTGCTACGTTCTTAGGACATGCGTGTTTTTAGCTGCAGCTCCCGCAATGCACTGCGCGTACTACATTCGTACTGAAACAATGTGATTTTCGGGCGACAGCTCCCAGAATGTACTTTGCGTGCTTCATTTGTACTGAAAAAGCGAGACTTTCCAGCTGCAGCTCTGGGAATGGACTCGCATACTACATTCGTACTTGGAAAGTGCAACTTTTCAAGCTGCAGCTCCTTCGCGTACTACTTTTTCTTCTTCCTTTCTTCTCTTTTCTCTTCTCTCTTCTTTTCTCTCTTCTTTCTGTTTTTCCCCACATTTTTGTGCGGGGTCCTTATTTTTACCGCTGCACACCCCGCGCCGCCACCCACTCTCAACTCAACTCAACTCAACTCAACTCAACTCAACGCAACTCAACTCAACTCAGCTCAGCTCAGCTCAGCTCAGCTCAGCTCAGCTCAGCGCAGCTCAGCTCCGCTCACGCACTCACCCACACTCACTCACACTGACTCATCTGGGTGGTGGCACGCGCAGCGTTTGGTAGCTGTCTAAAGGGACTGGACGTTGTTGAGCGCGCGCTGGGGGCCCGCTTTGCGTGACAGGCTTTGAACATGGCTTGCAAATCCGCCGACATTGCTCGGCGTGTTGGATAAGAGGATAACCCCCCCTAACCCCCCCCCGCCCGACGTCTGATGCGTAGGGTACCGGGGGGGTGTTTCTTGTTTTGCTTCCTGCTGAACCAAGAATCCACTCATAGGCAACATGTACTATGTGTAGATCCTCCGCTGCCATTTGGTTCACAACCATATTGCACAGGCCTGGTGACTTGACACTATAGGTTCAGGGACAACCACGAGGTATTCTTTATTGGGGCGACTGAGGCCCCGGTAATCCAACCTAAATGGTGGTAGCGGAGCGCTAGCACCATCTGTGCCTCAGCTGGGTAGCTGCGGAGCAGGTTCCCGTGCTGGCCCCAGTCTTATTGACTGTTCAGGACTACGTTCAATCTTCGATGAATGCAAAGTTGCCACCACCGTCTGATGGCCGTGTTACTTGGCTCCGGTATGAAGATCTGGGACTGGGTCACATTCACACAAGTCGAAACTCATCGGCAAGGACCGTTGTTGAAGAATCGGCTTACCAATGATGCCCTTATTTACTGGTCATGGTCACAAGCGGAGCCTCGTTCTTCGGGCTCAACGCTAGGGCCACGATGCTTGGGTTTGCCTTCATGGTTAGCTCTCAAGCGTCCAAGACATGTGGGTTGCCCGACTGCTCCGAAACGGCGTGCATCGCTGGGCGAAGCGATGTCCTGGTCGCAGTCTTCGACCTCTGAACCAGGCATGTGAATGACAACCGGCTGCCAACGAACCGGTAACGCGCAGCTGACTCATGAGGGCATCTCACCCGAGATCTGCCCTCTGGTGACCGAGGTCGACCCAAGCAGTCAAAGGTCCATGGCAAAGGGTGTGCCCGCTTTCAGCTGTCTCAGCTCCACCGCTGGAAGGCTCGGGCCGAGAGCTAGTGGTCATGGGAATCAAAGGCCATCTTTTTTGGTTTGGTTGGTTGAGTCTAAGGGGCGCCACTGGGCAACTGGGATTTATAAACAGACCCGATGTATCCGCGTTCAGATATAGGAGACATTGGTGGGTTTCAAGACTTAGTTTCACGTGAGAAATTGTTGGTTTCAAGACTTGCTCAAAGAATCCCAGCCCGGCTTGCTTAAAGGCACCGTCTCAGCGCGGCTCTTTCGAGTTCAAGTGTAAATGGGGAAGGGAGAGCAAAGTGAGGATCGGTAAGACACACAGAGCCATCCAGATTTATTGGGGGTGCCAATTTACTCTTGGGGAAGCCCTTTGCGAAGCCAATAACTGGAATTGAATTTGGCGCCCGGGACCCATGTGGCTTACTTGGGACTTCCTGGCTTGGAACAAAAGACAAGTGACACCCCCCACTTGAGCCATAATCAAACCCGGTATTGAAATGGTCTACCCAGAACCACGTAAAGAGTTGAAAAGGGGGCTGCACCCATTAGTAGTAAGGAAAGGCAGCTTATAGGGACCAATTCTTTTTCGAATTTGGGTCCCAAAACCCTGCAAAACAGCCAAATTCTCCAACCAGCTGAACGTTTTTCCGATGTCACCGGTCTTTGTCACCACTCCGTTTTTGGTGCAAAAAGCGCTGAAAACGGCGAACTCCGAAAAGTGTGTTTTTTCGTGTCCGGCGTTGAAAGTGCTGCCTGGGCCTCCAAATTCGCTCGTTTTCCTTCGAAAACCGGCTCCAGGCGTTCGCCGTGCTCCGAAATCCGTTTTCTGCCCCGAAAAGCCTGCGAATTCCAGCCCGCTGAGCTCGTCGCCGCTTGTCACCGCTTTGTCACCGCTCGCTTTTTGGGTGCAAAAGTGCGCAAAACCGGGCCCAGTTCTCTCCGCAGGGTTTTTCGCGGCCCGGCAGCCCGCCGAGGACCTGGCTCGGAGCCCGGCAGCGAGCCGAGGTTCTCCATGGCCCCCTGCGCCCCCCAAAAAAAAACCGACGACAACACCACCACCCAACTCCAAAGCTGACTCCCCCTTCCAGGCAGAGCCCGCTTCCTGACAAAAACCTTTCCTGACAAAATTCCTTCCTGGCAGAGCCCGCTTCCTGACAAAAACCTTTCCTGACAAAATTCCTTCCTGGCAGAGCCCGCTTCCTGACAAAAACCTTTCCTGACAAAATTCCTTCCTGGCAGAGCCCGCTTCCTGACAAAAACCTTTCCTGACAAAATTCCTTCCTGACAAAAACCTTCCTGACAAAATCCCTTCCTGACAAAATCCCTTCCTGACAAAATCCCTTCCTGACAAAATTCCTTCCTGGCAGAGCCCGCTTCCTGACAAAATTCCTGACAAAATCCCTGCCTGACAAAATCCCTTCCTGACAAAATTCCTTCCTGACAAAATCCCTTCCTGACAAAATTCCTTCCTGACAAAATCCCTTCCTGACAAAATCCCTTCCTGACATGTGTCAAACGTTGGGCAAGCCAAACGGAAGAAGCTGACTCGCCCCCCCGTCCCCCCGAAAAAAAACCGACGACGACACCACCACCAAAGCTGACTCACATCATTCCCCCTTCACAGCCCCGGAAGCTGACTGGCCCCCCGTCCCCCCGAAAAAAAGACAGACGACACCACCACCAAAGCTGACTCGCCCCCATTCCCTTCCTGGCAGAGCACGCTTCTTTGCAGAGCCCTTTTCCTGACACTGCCCCCGTCACTTTCGCCGTTCTCAGCCGCGCGTTCTGAGGCTCAAACTTTAAAAGGCCGTGACAGAAAGCGAGCAACGCAAGCCGACCTTCATTTCGCCATGGCGAAACAATACATGATGCCTCTCTTGCGCAGACTCACAAATTTGCGAACCGAAGTGGCCACCGGTCGGACGCGCAATCACTACGGTGTCGGGCGCGAGCTCACGGGCGAGGAGCTCTCTCGGAGGAAGACGGAAATCGCGAGGCTGGAACGGTGGACTGGGCGGGCGAAAAAAACGTCTGTTCGGCGTACGCCTGCCCGGCACTGCGCCTGTTCGGCACTCCTAGCCTTCCTACACGGCTTGGAGACTCCTCCAGCGCCATCGCCACAATAAAAAACTTCGGGGTTTGGGGGGTACATGCCAAGCACAATCAAGCAATGCAACACCATGCAAAAATCATGTCATGCCATGCAAAAAGCCGTGTAAAAAGCTATTCTCCCCGGCCTTTACGGGCAAGTATACC